CGTGGGGGTGAAAACTACGCAATGGAAATGGGGTGGAAACTCAGCTTCCTGCCGACGCCCAAAGCACTAGCCGCCGACATCTGTAAAGGTACTCGCTTCCGTGGGAGGAGGCGAGGAAGCCTGCTGGTTACCGAGTGCGACTCTGCTTCTGCACGCTGTAGATTAGGGCAGAAGCCGCAACGGAAAGCTGTCAGTACTGACGCTATGAACTCGCGAAATTACTCTTTCCGTCGCACTACTCCTGCGACTGACTCTAGCCCTGTACGGTACAGCCGTACGCACCAACGACATTCAACCGAGTTCGCTCTCGGCAAATATACAGAAAACCTTGGTTTTCGTTCGTTTCACTCAGAAAACCTACAGTTATGTAGGCAATTCGTCCCCTCCCCTCCCCGGTGGACACCCATCCCAACCCGGCACGGGGGAGACCGGGGCCACGGGGAGACTGAGGGAGGGAGGGAGGGAGGGAAAGACGAAACACAAACGAGTGAAGCTGCTGCCAGGGCAAGAGTGTACCAGGGGGGGAAGGGAGGGAGAGAGGGAGATAGTAGAGAAAGATGGCAAATTGAAAAAGTTATGCGTACAAAGCAGCTAGGTGAGGCGCGAGGGTAACAAATGAGAAACCCAATAGACACACATGTTGTGGGAAAGCCGCAGCAGGAGCTCACTCCTTCCCACTCGCCCACCAAAACCGCACCCACCAAAATCAGCTTGAAGCCAAACCGTTCGTACAGCGCCCGGTTCCGGAGCGAGGTAGCCTCTATGTAGCAGTACATCCCCGCCGCATCAGCCCGGTCGCACACGAACGCCAGCAGTGCGGAGCCCAGTCCGCAGCCCTGTCGGTCGGGTCGCACCGCCATGACCGACACGTACAAGAAGGGACCGTGGACCTGGAGATGGTCCAGGACAGAGTGCGGTGCGCGGTGCAGATGGCAGGTAGGGTGGGAAGGAGGGAAGGAGGACCGGGATTAGGAAGGGATTACGGAGGGCCTTTTGCTTGATGAAAAAGGGTGCATTGATTCCGTGTTTCAATGACAGCTCTTATTTCGTTCTTAGTTGGCTGGTTGGGCTCGTTATGTTGTCATTCAGTCCATCATCTTCTCCATCATCCCGACCGGAATCGCCACGTGGGACGAGATGAAGGAGGATATCCCCACCAGGCTGTAGGTGGGTGGGCCCAAGGGGGGAGGGAAAACGGCAGTACAGCCTTCCTTCCTTTAAATGCAGGAGGGGAGGGAGGAGGAAGGCAGAGCTGGTAACCTGTTAACTTGCTCGTATATATGTGCGACAGACACCAGCCACCAGGCACCTCCAAACTCCCGGCTCGAACTCGTCGTACGCCGCGGGTTGGGGTTGGGGTGCACTTTCTCCCCCCCAG